AGTTGGTGCACAGCCATTTTCAGATCGCTGCAGAGATGTTCAAAGTCTGGGTCACTCCCAAGACATTCACAGAGTTGGCCCGTAGCCACTCCTTTGTTATGTGGGCTGTGTGCTTAGGGTCATTGTCCTGTTGAAAGATGAACCGTCACCCCCGTCTAAGGTCCAGAGCGCTCTGGAACAGGTTTTCATCAAGGAAGTCTGTCTATTGCTGCATTCATCTTTCCTTCGATCCTCACTAGTCTCCCAGTTCCTGCTGCTGAAAAACATCCCCACAGCATGATGCTGCCACCACCATGCTTCACTGTAGGGATGGTAATGGCCAGGTGTTGAGCAGTGCCTGGTTTCCTCCAGACATGATGCTTGACATTCAGGCCAGAGTTCAATCTTTGCTTCATCAGACCAGAGAGTCCCTTAGGTGCCTTTTGACAAACTCCAGGCGGGCTGCCATTTGCCTTTTACTGAGGAGTGGCTTCCGTCGGGCCTCTACCATACAGGCCTGATTGTGGAGAGAGAACAACCATCTCTGCAGCACTTCACCAGAGAAACGCTGGAGCTCTTTCAGAGTGTGACCTTTGGTTGCTTGGTTACCTCCCTGGCTAAGGCCCTTCTCCCTCCATCGCTCATTTTAGCCGAGCAGCCTACTCTAGGAAGATTCCTGGTGGTTCCAAACTTCTTCCATTTACAGATTATGGAGGCCACTGTGCTCATTGGTACCTTCAATGCTGCAGAAACTTTTCTGTACCCTTCCCCAGATCTGTGCCTTGATACATTCCTGTCTTGGAGGTCTATGGACAATTCCTTGGACTTCATGGCTTGGTTTGTGCTCTGATATGCAAAGTGTGGGACCTTTATATAGACAGGTTTATGCCTTACCTAATCATGTCCAATCATCTGAATTTCCCACAGGTGGACTCCAATCAAGTTGTGCAAACATCTCAAGGATGATCAGTGGGAACAGGATGCACCAGAGCTCAATTTTGAGCGTCATGGCAAAGGCTGTGAATACTTATGTACATGGGGTTTTTTTTTTTTAGTTTATTTTTAATAAATTGCAAAGATCTCAAAACAAAATTCTTTCACGTTGTCATTATGAGGTATTGTTTGTAGAATATTGAGGGAAAAAATAAATTTAATCCATTTTGGAATAAGGCTGTAACATAACAAAATGTGGCAAAAGTTAAGCGCTGCAAATGTTTTCTGGATACATCTTCCTTTCAAAGGGTAGATAGAATAAGAAGATGGGTGGGAGCATGTTTTAAGCTTAGGTTGCTATAGGCTGTACTTCCACTTTAAATACTTTATTTTTCGATGGTTACACTAGATGTCCTGTATGCACGTTCCTTCTATGTGCTTAAGAGAGCACAGAGTCAAGCCTTGACATATTAAAGCCTGTCTCTAGACAAAACAATTTTTTTTCAGTTGTGGCTGGAGTGCGGAAGGCTTTGAACCTCTGTCAGGTTTTATGGCCCCTAGCTCTTACCTCATGGGGAGATTTTCTCATACTTCTGACACCCTTCACCTGGACAGAAAGGGATTAAAAATCTATGCAGTGGATTAAAAGCAACCGGAACCTGACATGTTCCAACCAGGATCACAATTGTGACATGGACATAAGTCAACTTGCTAGGGGCCGCCAGTTTAATTTCCCCCCACTGTACAAACCTATAACTGCTCCAAACACCCTTCAGATTAATGTTTTCATACCATACAACACCACTAGGCAACTGAGAAACTCCATACATCTTTTAGGAGACAATTTACCATTTTATTTTTGTCATTTATAATTACATATTTACTGTACAGTCACCTTGCTTTTATAATAGTGAAAACACATTCTCACCAAATCATAACATTTAAAAAAAAAACAAACAAGACCCAAACATAACTTATACTTTCTGCTACCCAACACTGTGCTGACAATCCTAAAGAGCTTCAACATACTTAGAATAATGGGCTGAAAAGTAAAAACTGTCAGATAAAATTATTGTACAAGTAATCAAAGTTTTCTTTCTGCATAAAGAATTTCCTGTGTCTAGCACAGGTTCAGTGACTTAGAGATGGTTATTAAAGTGCTAAACACAATTTTTCCCTGAATGTGTATTTACAATGATGATCAAAGTCCATACCATGAGCTTATACAAACATTTTTAATGGCGTAAAGATCCCCTACCTCCTGAAAGTATCCATGAAACATTAAAAACAGCTAGCTATCATCACAATGATATCTCTGAAAGTGTAAATCCAGCCCAATCATTTTTTCAGTTTTGAAAAGAGCAAGAACTCTCGGCTTTAACAGTTGTCGGAGGCCTTGTTTGGAAGATCGACCCATACTTCCGAGTGACGTTATCTCTCACTATCTATCCATGACATTCTTCTAGAAAGACACAGATGGGAATGATGAGAATTCCTACTTTCCTATACTCTAAAATAAGTTTGGTTTTTTTTTTTTGCTGCTCTCTGGGTCGCTCCTGAGAACACGGGGACATAAAGAGGGAAATGCAGAAATCTAAAGTTTCAACTCTTCCCTTATCCAAAACTGAGCACAAAAATGTAAGCATCCTAAAAATGTTTTCTAGCAAAATAAATGTCATTAAAAACATATAGGAGACTGCCATTGCTTACCTCCAGTAAGTTACCTGGCTGTTACGCTAGCTTTAATGTGCCGATGACCCAGAAGAACGCACTTTGGGGTAGTCAGAAATCTTTATCTGCATACTTCTTACTGGTAAGTGACAAAGTATTGAAGCTAAAGGATCAGAGTAATAGGCAGGCAACTAGCACTCAGCAATGACAGCCTCCATGTTTATCTTATGTCCTGTTTCCTTCCTTCCACTCTGCCATATTAGATGGAGGGTGCCAGGCTTAGAATGTAAAGCTGTTATTTGTCACCTGATGATTCTATATAAACCTAGAAGTGTACCCTTCTGCCATGGCACAGGATTAGTCGAGGAAGGTACTCACTGTTGGGCATTTGAAGTAACTGATCCTAAAAACCATCCTCCTACCTGAATGAAGTTCCCAATTAAGGCAGGACTTCTAGTCTATAAAACTAGCTAACCTTGAGGCTTTGTTTAAAGAAAACCTGTCTAGAGGAAGCATGGATTCTGCCATTGCCAGCCTCTCAGTCAAGGTTGGATTCATAACCTATGCACATTAAAGCACTGCAAATGTTCAGTACGTTGTTCTTCATTCTGAACGGCGCTAAACACAATTATACATTTGTTATGCATTGAGGCTCATAGGTATATGTACTTGGAGCCAGCTAGGCACAAGCATTTTTAGGAGGTTAGGAATGGCAACCTTAAATTGCTTCCAGTGCAAGTTTCTATAATAAATGTTCTAATCCCTCAAAATTTCTAGAAACTAGCTGCAGTCAATTTTTCCTTTTTACTGAGGGGTCAGTTCACCCAAATATCATTTCAGTTTCTGGTAGATACAGGATGGTTAATTTATTTATCTTACTCTGGAATCTCAATATTTAAATCTTTGTGGTTTAAGGCCCTGGATCTGCAAACCACCCCCCAACCATTAAGAGTAGCTCCCATTCTCCCTGCTGGATTTTTCACATATATTACTGAAAATTTAGCAGGAGGAATGGAAACATCTCAGAGGGTGAGATAGAAACTATGGCAGGAAGTTCACACTGCTGGAATCCCCACAATATAAACAAAGCCAGTGGGTGACTTCACCTGTAACTGAAAAAGCACTTTTGGGTGTACTAACCCTCCAAGTTCCCAGGCTACCTTGCTCTTCGTATAGCCCTCTTCTGGAATTGCTGAACCTGACCTAAATAAAAACAAAAATTCTTAAAGTGTATGTATAGCCAAAGCTTTTTAATGTTGGACAGACTGCATTTGACCCACTATCAAGGTCATTGCTGTCTGTGTCCCACTTGGTATATTCACCCTTCTTTTTGTCCTGACGATCATGGTCATCTAGACAGAAAGTGATCTGGAAATCTAAAATTGTATCCAAATTTGAAAAGTTTACGATTCCCTTCCTATGGGGACACTTCTGCTGGTGAGAACTGATTAGAAGAGGAATTCCCTCACTTTGTAGAGATTTTCAACCCCTCAACAGCATATTAAACAAAATTAAAGTGACAGGGGTTGTAACCCCATCCAATGGACCTTATCTTAATAGAAAACATTACAGAAGGTGCAATAAAGATTGAGCTTAGCATAATCAAATTCAGTGCATGGACACAGCAAAACAAATAAATACAACTTCTATGCATTGCAAGTTTTCTCACATGTGTGTGTGTGCGCGTTTATGTCTGATGTGATAATTGAAGACTACAGACTTCTTCCTATACTGCAAGTTAAATAATTGGCACCATTGTAGATTTGAAGGTAAACCTGTCAAAAGAGAAATATGGGGGCTGTCACTGCTGACCTGAAAATGCCTGGCTTTAATACTACACCATTGAAAACTGAAAATGAAAACTGAGTGGCTGATAGGGAACATGTTTGCAGATCAGAATTGTTCAAAAGTCCTTATCTGCATGCTTGTTCCAAGTTAGTGACCCACATTGATGAATCACAGGATCATCATCACTGACAACATTTTAAAAAGGTAAGATTACTGTTACAGCAGCTCCCACGTTTTTCTAATGACAGGTTTCAGTAAGAAAGCATGGATATTGCTGCAACAGTGTATTATAAACATCCCGATGGCTAGCGTTTCTTCAGCAGGTGTCGCACAATAGCACACAGAGAGCCAGTTAATGTTGAAAGCTGGGAAATCCAAATAAAAATTTACAAATTACAAAGCTATTCAACTGGCCAGGACGAGTTACACTTCCTTGTGTAGTACTATGTGAAGACATCAAAGAGTAGAGGTAGACCAGGTGTAACTGCCAGAATTTCCAGGATGTATAAAAGTCTCCTAGGGACACGATCCCAACCAAGAAAACTGAAAGCCACAGGCAAAGCATCAGAACTCTGAACAATATGACTTAACCTCTGCTGGGCTCCCAATGGAATTGTCACCATTTTCTATCATGCAAGAAGTAGGTCAGAGACAAAGTCAAAGTCTTGAAAGAGGATCTGATCGATGGCGGTCACAGGGCGTGGATCGTCTGATGGGGACAGTATGGGTTTCTGTCCAGTGAATTCCTCATCAAAATTCTTCACGTCATAAGGGTCCTTTAGGGATGGGACGAAGGGTGGCTGCAGCTTTTGTGTATAAAGTGCTTCCCAGTCCATCTCCTACAAGAGAAGTAGAGGTCTCAGGTTGTGATAAAAAAAAAAAAAATTGTTTGCTTTAAAGAAATTTTTAAACAAAATATGTAAAAGGGGCTACTGAAACACTTGCAAATCTTCTCTTAACTATTTCTGTAGTGCATTGAAAGGGATGGTATAGTGTTTTTTTTTTTTAATAAATGTTCTTTATTACTAGCAAAATTGAACATTTATTGGAAGACCAAATAAAAGGTTAAAATACATATATTTTTCTCTTTAGTCAGGCTGAAAACTCATCTCTTCAGAAAGGCCTATCCTGCCCCCACCTAACAACTGTACATTTATTTTGTCCATCAGCCCATTCCCCACAGTTATTACCTTTTGTATCTCTCGACCCTCCCTCTTAGATTGTAAGCTCTAAGGAGCAGGGCCCTCTGAATCCTCCTGTATTAATTTGTATTGTAATTGTACTGTCTGCCCATATGTTGTAAAGCGGTGCATAAACTGTTGGCACTATATAAATCCTGTATAATAAATATAAAAAATTGTATACTCCTTTTCAGATGTCACTAATCCTTGATGGGGGGGGGAAAAAAAAAAAAAAAAAAAAAAAGTCTTTCAAAGGATCAGTGACTTAAACTCAGATTGTATACGCAGGTGAATCCATGAGAAGAGTGACTTACCTTTCTCCTTGCCAACTCCCTGCCAAGCGTAAATTAAACACAATACAAGAAGATAACGTTTAACTGATGTAAAAAGCTGCAGTAGTGTGGCCTGTATCTGCGGTTTCCCTTAATCAAAATACAGAATTTTCCAGCATACTAGGACTTGTGAGATCTATTCCACTTTTTGGGGCAGTTGCATATTGCATGTGCCAGTTCTGTCAGTCCATTTGCAGGAGAAGTTGTGCTAGGCCCCAGAGGTACATTAACTCATCCCTTGCCCGATGGCACTGCTGAGACAGTGTAATCTGTTAATATAAAACTAAACACAACCTCATGCCAATATAAATCCTCTTGTATCCTTGTCCTGTGAAAGAGGACATTTAGTAATACCTGATAGAAAGGTTGGGTCTTTATCTCTTCTGCATCCCCAATTCCAGCCCCCAAGCGGCGCTCCGGTGTTTTCCGCAGCAACTTGATATGTAAAATAAAGAAAATACGATATGATAGGCAGCCAAATCATTCTACTCTGCACAGGTTACAGAGGTGTTTTCTCTGGTATTATCAGAGGGTCTTTTACATCACCATGGCATCTCATAACACACTAAAACTGTGATAGGCAACTAGCAGACCACCACCTGCTGTGGAATATAAGTATTATATCTTGCCAATTCTCTATTTAAGCTCTTTAGACAGCAAGGCATAGTCAGACTTGTGGGTCTTTTACAGGGCAAAGCAAAGCAACACGCGTGCAGAACAGAGAAGCTCTGAGTAAGACCCTTGTCACAATCTGGACCTTACACAAAGGTCTCTTCCCCATCCCCATGTTACAGTGCTGAGTGCCTGAGTGGCCAAATCACCCAGAACCAGCTGCCATATGGGATAAAGGAGTGATTCACATGTTCTCCCATACCTGGAAGTACCAGATCTTATACTTCCCTGGACTAACAGAGCAAAGGGTCAGAATTAAAACCTAGTGCTATTTCCTGCATGGCCAGGTACAGGTGCACTTTAACGGTCCTGGCACTAGGTGAAGGAGGTGGGGTAGCACAGTGGCTAAATAGCACTTCTGCCTGGCAGTACTAGGGTCGTCTGTTCGAATCTCAACCACAGCACCTCCCATACCTGGAAGTACAAGTACCTGGAGTTTGCATGTTCTCCCTGTGCCTGCGTGGGTTTCCTCCGGGTACTCTGGTTTGCTCCCACACTCCAAAGACATGCTGGTAGGTTCACTGGATTATGTCTAAATTGGCCCTATGTGTATGTATGAATGTAAGTTAAGGACCTTAGATTGTACACCCCTTGAGGGTTAGGGACTGATGTGTATGTACAATATATATGTAAAGCGCTGCATAAATTGACAGCGCTATATAAGTAACTAATAAATAAAGGGAGGTAAAGAGCAGAAGTTCCAGTGAACAGGAACCCCTCTTTCCTTCCCAAAGTCATTTCTGGTGCTCATAGAAATTGTTACCAAACCAGATTAACCTAGCAGTAATGACCCCTGCACTAGAGAACTGAAAAAAAAAAAAAAAAAAAAAAAGGCATTTCCAGGTCAAGTCACCCCAATTTTCGGTTACAGTTCATAATTTACCTTCCGTATAAGCTTGATGGCTTCACTAGAGAGGAAGCGTGGATAACGCACTTCTTCATTCACAATGCTGTCGAACACCTCCTCCTCATCATCACCGGGGAATGGACACTGGAAGAAGAGACCGTTAGAGCATTCTGTTGGGTCTGTTACTTCAGCTCTAATGGACAGAGGTGGAGGAGCACTGGAATTGCCATGTGTGTAGTTCTAACCACTTTTTCAAAGGGCAGTTTTATTTGTTCTTGCACACATAAAAACCTGCATTTTTGCCTAAAAATTACATTAAAATCGCAAACAGTTATACAGTAAATATTCTGAAAGTAAAGGCCCTGTGGAATGACATGGCGGCAACTGCAATATTTGTGAAATTGTTTATCAAAAGCATGTTTTTAGGAAAAGAAAATACATATAAATACATTTTAGCACACACAAACAATTAATACCAAATTTTATGGTAAAATGTAAAATATGGGATTGCATGGAGAAATTAGATACTAAACATATCAAGCCTTAAAATTGTGCACACCGACTACTTAAAACCCCCAAATATTATAAAAATGTTGGTAGTTCCAATTTTTTTTTTTTTTTAAGTCATACAATATTAGTACGACGGTTTATCAAGTGCAAAGTTTCACTACATTACAGTTAACGTCAGGTATACAGTGGAATACATTACTCAATTTTGGTAAAATATAAAAGATGAGGTTGTGCTATGTAAATAGATACACTGCCTTGAAAAAATATTCATACTCCTTGTAATTTTCCACATTTAGTCATGTTACAACCAAAAACATAAATGTATTTTATTGGGATTTTATGTGATAGACCAACACAAAGTGGCACATAATTGTGAAGTGGAAGGAAAATGATAAATGGTTTTCAACATTTTTTACAAATAAATATCTGAAAAGTGTGGTGTTCATTTGTATTCAGCCCCCTTTACTCTGAAACCCTTAACTAAAATCTAGTGGAACCAATTGCCTTCAGAAGTCACCTAATTAGTAAATAGAGGCCACCTGTGTGTAATTTAATCTCAGTATAAATACAGCTGTTTTGTGAAGCCCTCATAGGTTTGTTAGAGAACATTAGTGAACAGCAGCATTATGAAGCCAAGGAACACACTAGACAGGTCAGGGATAAAATTGTGGATAAGTTTATAGCAGAGTTCCCCTATGATATACCCTGATGTCCTCCATCCTTTTCTGTGGCAGTGACAGCAGAATTGGAAGTGATACTTTACACGTTGCTTCCCGGTTCTTACTAGTTAGGGGAACTCAGGGAGCTTAACAGCCTTCACCATATCAATCTCAGGTCCACCGATGGGGCACGGAGAGGGACGAATGTTTCCCGGGGGTGTGGAAGTATTTGACAGCTGCACCGCCACCTGAACACTTTCATTTGACAGCCGTCGTGAGCAAAAATCCCCCGCTGCTGCCAACGTATGCTATGCATTGGTAGCAATAAAAGGGTTAACAGCCTTTACAGGTTATACGTTTTAAGGCCCTAGAATTATTGCATTCACTCTGATGTTCACAGTGTTACCTACTTGTGTGGCACAAATAAGATTTACATACACATGTGTGCCCTACGTGTGTATTTACATTTGTGTACGTATGGGGGGTGACCAGGGTGCTTTTACATTTTTTTTCATTATTTTTAATTATTCAAATTTTTTTTTTATTAATTCTGTTTTTGCCATTTAAATTTATTGCTATCGCAATGGGGGACAGCGCCTTCAGAGTCCCGTAAAAGTGATCAGGCAGCTCACTTTTACCTTTTACCACCCATAAAAATCAATATAAATCTCATGGCTGCAAAGCAGCCATAGGCTTGTTGGAACCCCTTCAATACCAGGATAGTTAAAAACATACCTTGATAAACAAGGAACCAAAGAGGATGTGTATTTGTTTTACTAAATTTAGATATACAAGTAAAATAAATAAGCTTGATGTATATAATCATATTAATCTGCAGTTAATGTTTTAGAAACATTGTTTCGCTTTGTACTTTGGAATTATATACATGCAGACTGCTATATTTGTTCATTACATATTGAGGCTCCTTGCTTCGTAGTGCTGCACAGTTGTCATGCTTCATCATTCTTAACTCACAGTGCAAGTTTATTGTCCAGTACAAACTTGATTTAAAGCGATACTAAAGCTTGTCATACTTGCCTGCTCTGTGCACAGAATAGCCCCGATCCTCCTCTTTTCGGGTGTCCCACCTGCGCTCCTGGCTCCCCCCTCTCGACCAGTGCCCCAGAGAAAGCTGCTTGTCCTGGGGGAACCACTGTATGCTTGCTCCTCAGCCGCTGCTCTATGCATCCATAAGACACAGAGCCGCCGCTCGGCCCCACCCCCCTGCTCTTTCCTCAGTGGCTCGCTGGCTGTGCGTGACAGCAGTGGGGAGGTTTTTTACCTTCATGCATAGAATACATGAAGGCAAAAAACTCTGAGCCTTTAGAACCACTTTAACACAGAAATCAAATCTACTAGAAACAGCTGGTTGTCCTCCATGTGTTGGATTGTAACGCACAAAACTGCCTTTTTAAAAGATCTCACCTCTCCTACCAGCATCTCGTAGATGAGCACGCCCAGCCCCCACCAGTCCACTGCATAGGTGTAAGAAGTGTCGGTGAGCACTTCTGGTGCCAGGAATTCTGGGGTGCCACAAAATGTACTTGTTCTGTCCCCATATCCCATACCTAGAAGACAAAGTAAACAAGTGAGCATGCAGCTACATTTTCTCCAGCAGCTTGTACACTGGCTGTATTCAATTGTTTGGCACCCCTGTCTCATTTTTCCATCATTTGTCTAACAAAAGGCCATATGTTTCACCATGCCTACTGTTGTAAAATGCTTCTAGTTTACAGAGCTCAACAGCTTAACCTTAAGTGCGTGCAAACACACACAAGTACTAGGAAAAGCAATAAATCCCTTATCAGATGGAGGATTTAATGAGAGAAGCATGTGAACCAATTATGTTGTGTATGTGAATAAATATATCATATTATTATTTACTAATCTATTATATATAATGTATGGGTATGTGCAGTATATGTATATCATATAGTATGTATCATATATTAAGTATGTAATATATTTGTTGTGTATGTGAATGAATATGACACACACACACACACACACACACACACAATGTTTAGTAACAGATCTAAACAGGTTTAAATCCAATAAATGCAAAACAAAAAACATTTGATAAAATTAACCCACAATAAATATATTTTCCCTTTAATTATGTGCTTAGAAGTGGGTTAAGATTGAAGTTATGCTTAGGGTCAAGTGTCAATTCTGGGCTTAACTCCTCGCTCCTTTAGTTTAGTGCTCCCTGTTACTTCCCAATTAAGGATGTATTCAGAGCTGTGACTCCGACTGAATGTGAGAACCCCAGCAGGAGGTCCCATAATTAGCTGTGGGAGGCAGCCCTATTGAAAGCAACAAGAAGCTGCTGGCTCCCACAGCTAACATGGCCGCATGTAATTGCTCATGCAGTGATCACATGCGAGTGATCACTGCATAAGATATACAGGCATGTGGGCACGATTAGCTTCAGCAGCCAGCAAACTTCCACTGCTTTCAATGGGGCTGCCCCCCGCAGCCAATTGTGGGAGCTCACCTCAAGCCTTAAGGAAATCTGTGCACGGCAGAAGCAGCCAGTCAGTGTTTCTGCCTCACCACAGCTGTAACCAGGAAATAGTGGGCCTCTGGTACACTACACATTAGGTTACATGGAAAGGAAAGGGATATGTGTATAGTGTATGTGTTTAGGTGACAATAAGGGAATCTGTTTTTTCCCATCATGCATGCTCTTTGCCAATAATCAGATATGTGCAAGTACACAAATTGATTAAAGCAGCATAAAAGCCTCACACCCTCACCTTCTTTACAGAGTCCAAAATCTGCAATCTTCACAAACCCTCTGGAATCCATCAGCAGATTGTCCAGCTTCAAGTCTCTACAAGGATAAAAATATTGGCAAGATAGTCAACATTAGAGTGGTTATGAAACACTTATTCTATTCTGTATATCAAGTGCCAGTGGTATTTATTGCAACTGGAGGAGAAACAAAAGTAACTCCAACCACACATTCTCTATAGATTGGGAATTAAACTGGAAAAAAAACAGTCTATGGTCTGCACATGATAAGGCTTACCAACAAACTTTCAAAAGGAACCCAGATTACCAGCAGATTTTGAATAGAAGTGGACATTCCTGCAAGTTCCTGGGACACAAATAATGTAATTTTTTTTTTCTTGTCCACCTCTACTGCCAGAGAAAAGGACAGGGTCCCAAAAAAGCACATATATTGCCTGCCTGTCCTTATCTCACGAAGGAAGGAGAACAGGTCACAGCATCAGCAACAATAACTTGTAAATAAGCCAAATGGGACCCATGCAACTGGCCAATTTAAACTACTTTATACCAGTTCAGCTCTCACACCTGTACCTTAGGGACCAAAGTAATTTTAACATTGCTGCTATGGGCCTATTTATTCGGTAATAACTTTGTAATTCCTTACTTCTGTGACCCAGATTCAGCTGATTTGTGTACTACTGCCTGCTTATCAGCTGATGGGGCAGAGCAATGACAGCTGTCAATCAAGCAACAGAGTAGATCACAACAATATTGTCAGCATCCACCCTGCTGCTTGATTGACAGCTGGCTCTATCTTTAACTGTGTGTCTGAGAGCTGGAGCCAGTTGTGCCAAACTCCTTGCCATCCCATCGCTCCAGTGAGCACTGGAGAATGAAGTGTGGTGAAGAAGCATACTTCTCCTTTAAATCATTATTACTGGGTTATATGCAGCTACCTGTAGGTGATTGGACACTGCCAAAAAAAAGGCTGCAGGGACTTTCCCCATATTAACCACTCCTAGTCCCTTTTAGCCGTAAGCAGTCCATACACGATGAATTTTTTTCATTCAACTAATGGGCTGAAGGAAAAAAAAAATTATTCAATTCAACACTCGATGTGGAATGGAGGTAATCACACCTGCGAAGGTATTATATGCTGACAGGGAGACTTTCCCGCTGTCAGAATACACTAATCAGCACAGCTAGTGGCGCTGATCATGTAGAAATTTTCCAACAGGCTGCTTGTACAAAAGTCGATCGGCGGATCAACTTCTATACAACCAGCTTGCCCATACATGGATCAACATTTGTCCGGTCCCTGCTGAATTTTGATCCATGTATGGCGGGCTTTAATTTTGTAGCAAGCATTAGGGAGATCAAAAGAACAAAGGGAAGGGTCCTTTGTGCTGTAGTTTACTCCATAAATGGATTTTACTGGTAAGTCAAAAATCCTATTTTCTTGATCCTACAGTACAGGACAGAGGATGCTTTAAATCATTACGACTGGAGCATCGAAAATCAGTCCAGCTGAGGCAAGGACAACACAGCAAACAGGTCAGGAAGGACTCTACAAACTCTAAAAACAGCTTATAGTACTTTACACTCGAAGAGGAGAGAGGACATCTATCCCTCAGACTGTAAGGCACTAATGATATGTTCTCTGATTCACCTGGTGGAGCAAGAGGCAGGGAGATCCTTGCGAGAACCATAAGGAAGCACAAAGAGGGAATCCAATTTCCTAAAATTGGTATTACCTGAGAGATAAATTCTCACAGCATGCTCCACATCTAGACAATGGACAGGAATTTCCTTAGGATGTTTTGGAGCTGGACATAAGGAAGGGAGGACAATATCTTGATTGAGTTAGAAAGCAGAGACCACCTTCAGGAGGAAAGAGTCATTGGGCCTCAAGGTGACTCTGTCCTTGTGCAACACTAAGAAAGACTCCTAACAGTTTAAGGCCACTAACTCAGAGATCCTCCTCACAGGAGGTGATACAAACAAGAAAGCCCACCTTATGAGAATGTCCAGTCAAGGAAATAAACAGAATATGTCTTGCTGAGTACATTTTAGGCTGAAAGTTGCTCAACTTCTACCAGGCCTTCCAGGTGCTATGGTAGACTTTACAAGAAGTTGTCTTCCAAGCCCTCAAGAGGGTAGGAATGTCTGAATCTGCAAGACCCATTTCTCAGGACAGTAGTTTTAACAGCAATACCGTTAAAGTGCACAATTAAGAAGCAGGATGTCACACTGGATCTTGGGACAGAAGATCCAGACAATACAGAACGGCCCACAGAGCATCTGCCAGGAGCTTGAGTACTGTCTGTCTGAATACCATGTCTTCCTAGGCCAATTTGGTGCAATAGTGGTCACTGGAATCCTTCCTGATACTGTGTAGTAGGCAAGGAAATCTTTGTAGGGGTGAAAAGGTGTAAATCAAGATGTACTGATCCCATGACATCACCAGAACATTCATTTCAAAGGTTCAAGGGTTCCTGGACCTGGCAACAAACCTGTCTAGTTTTTGGTTTTATCTACACACCAGGAGGTCTAGATCTGTCTGCCACCTATGGCATAGTGCTTGAAAGACCTCCAGATGGAGAGCTCATTCTTCTGCATCCAGACGCTGACAGTGGAGTAAGGGGTCAGATTCAAGGACTAAGTCTGCCGACTTAAAACATTCTGGAATAAAACTGTGTGTATGGTGCAACCTCGAAGCAGGCAACCATGAGATCCAAGTCCTTCATGCAAGCACAAATAAAGTGCTTTCTCAGGCCCTGACATGAAACCAAACAAACAGGAGTTTGACCAGGGATATAAAAGGTAGACAAGAACATATCTAGTGACAGACACCCCCCCCCCCCCCCCCCCCGGTACTCCAACCTGTGAGATGGCCCAGTGATGTCTTCTGAATGTTGGGAAACTAAAGCTCTGCAGAATGTGTATTGCCTGTTGGATGTTGGTTGACTGGGATAAAAAGACTAATCAATTAGCAGGAGATTGTCCAGATACCCCTCAACATGAATTTCTTTGAGAGTGATGCACAGTTAAAACCAGGGCAAGCACCTTGAGAAAACCCAAGGGTCTGTGGACATTCCAAAGTGAAAAGCTACTCCTCCATTTGGCCTGGGAACAGTAATAAGGTTAGACTACAAATCCTGAAAGCGTTCTTCTGTTAGTACAAGGGTTATGACCACTTGATCCAAGAGCTGTCAGATAGCAGCAAGCTGACCCACCCGCCATGAAGGGGAAGGTGACAAGTTGGAGAGCAAGAAGTGAGGAAGAGGTGAAACTCTAGTTTGTAGCCCCTGACAATAGCACACTGGACCTGGGCTGCTGAGATGTAATCTGGTACCAGAAGGCCGAGAAATGTCCCCCCACTTTGAGAAGTTTCTGTGAAGGAGCCTTCGTACCAGCCTTGGCTGGTAGGAAAGGCTATATCTTCTATGAATGTACGCTTCTGTCTTAGACTTGGAAGCATTGGAAGACAGAGAGATGAAAGGAGCCCTTCCTAAATCCAATGATATCCTTGATGTACTTATCCAAAGAGGTACCAGGCATTTGCCTTCAAAGTGTAACCATTCAAGACATTTCTTAAATAGGAGCTCTGCTGACTAGCAATTAAGCCAGAGAATCCTGCACATGACTAGAGAGAGAAGGCTCTTCCAGTGTGTCCAGCCAGCAATGTTCAGACAGACTGCCATCAACATGACTTTGGGTTGCATTGCAGAGCCTGTTGGTAGCAGTAGCAAGGCAGAAGGGCAGGGTATACTACATAGACTCTGTGTACTTCCATGAAGTTTTTTTGGCTATGTGTAGCATGCACAAAGCCCACAAACAGTTTAAGAACTTGTGGCCAGACCATTAAAATTAAAGTTATTTACATTATCTTAACAAGCAGTAAATAAACTTTAAAAGGATTCCTGGTTTCTGTAGCTATCGGCACTGGGGAGCAATTCATTCATTACAACAGAGACACATATTGAAGGGTTGTAGTCACTTTCTCAAAAGGCTTACACCTAAAGAAACAAAAAGGTGCACACCAAATAGTACTCCCACAACTTTATTATTCACAGCACAGCCCACACTTGCTTCTCCCTCTGACAAGACCTCATTCCAAAGAGCTCTTGTGTACAGGTGTGCCCCTGTCGATTCTTTCGATTTCAATAGTCTAGCTCAGTGGTCGGCAAGCCGCGGCTCGCGAGCCACATGCGGCTCTTTACCCACTCTAATGCGGCTCTTCTGTGTGCCGGGCGCCTGCTCCTCCCTCCCTCCTCTCGGTCGGCCGCTCCCCTGCCTCCTCTCGGTTGGCAGCCCCAAAAGTCCGCGCGGACCTTTTAATCCGGCCCGCGGATGTGGCTGTCAGGATGTGTGTAGGCGGGGCAGCGTGCCGAACGTGAGGGGAGGGGAGCTAGGCTCCTCTCACAGTCCGCCCTGAAGACCCGAACGGCGCGGGAAGACAGCGAGAGGAACGCAAAAGGTAAGTGAATTGACACGGGGGACTTGGCTTACTAGAAGGGGGGGGGGGATAGTACTGTGGGGGATGAAATACTATATGAGGGATGAATTACTTTATGAGGGATGAATTACTATATGGGGGGATGAAATACTATATGAGGGATGAAATACTATATGAGGGATGAATTACTATATGAGGGATGAATTACTATATGGGGGATGAATTACTATATGGGGGATGAATTACTATATGGGGGATGAATTACTATATGAGGGCTGAAATACTATATGAGGGATGAATTACTATATGAGGGATGAATTACTATATGGGGGATGAATTACTATATGGGGGATGAATTACTATATGGGGGATGAATTACTATATGGGGGATGAATTACTATATGAGGGATGAAATACTATATGGGGGGATGAAATACTATATGGGGGGATGAAATACTATATGGGGGATGAAATACTATATGAGGGATGAAATACTATATGAGGGATGAAATACTATATGAGGGATGAATTACTATATGAGGGATGAAATACTATATGAGGGATGAAATACTATATGAGGGATGAAATACTATATGGGGGGATGAAATACTATATGAGGGATGAAATACTATATGAGGGATGAATTACTATATGAGGGATGAAATACTATATGGGGGGATGAAATACTATATGGGGGGATGAAATACTATATGAGGGATGAAATACTATATGAGGGATGAAATACTATATGAGGGATGAATTACTATATGGGGGATGAAATACTATATGAGGGATGAAATACTATATGAGGGATGAATTACTATATGGGGGATGAAATACTATATGAGGGATGAAATACTATACGAGGGATGAAATACTATACGGGGGATGAAATACTATAGGGGGATGAAATACTATACGAGGGATGAAATACTATACGGGGGATGAATTGCTATGGGGGGATGAATTACTATATGGGGGATGAATTACTATGGGGGATGAATTACTATGGGGGATGAATTACTATGGGGGATGAATTACTATGGGGGATGAATTACTATGGGGGATGAATTACTATGGGGGATGAATTACTATGGGGGATGAATTACTATATGGGGGATGAATTACTATGGGGGATGAATTACTATATGGAGGATGAATTACTATATGGGGGATGAATTACTATATGGGGGATGAATTACTATGGGGGATGAATTACTATGGGGGATGAATTACGATGGGGGATGAATTACGATGGGGGATGAATTACGATGGGGGATGAATTACTATGGGGGATGAATTACTATGGGGGATGAATTACACTATGGGGGATGAATTACTATATGGGGGATGAATTACTATGGGGGATGAATTACTATATGGGAGATGTATTTTCAGTTTTAAAAATGTGGCTCTCAAAATAAATTTCAATCATGGTTTTGGCGAGATTTGGCTCAGTTGAAAAAAAAGGTTGCCCACCACTGGTCTAGCTAAAATGAGCCATGTGGGAGCCAGCACGAGAAAGAGGAAAGAAAGTATGTGCTTGGAGCAGGGTTATTGCTTTGAAACGTCTGAATGTCTGAACTTTGCTATAAGGCTGCCAAATCACTGCTGAGAGAGGAAAATGGTAGAGAGGAGCTGTGAATCCAATGCCTCTTCTGTGAATTTTAAGGATGAGTTGTTTTATAATGCCTGCAGCTACCAAGGTCAGTGAGGCGTTATTTTAAATGGTATTTACGGTTTGTTAAGGATAAGTAAATAGCTAAAATTTCCATAGTCACAGGTTCACTACAATACAATAAAGATTTAGTGTTAGATATATATTTATTGAGGTAACACTTTAAACTATGTTTACCCCAGGGACTTCCACAAATGTTTTAAAGCTGAATCAGGAGCACACAAATACACAGTTGAATTATTCAGTAATTATGTGAACTTTTCTACCTGTCAAATGTTTTGAAACTGTGACCCACTCTAATTTATTTAGGCACTTCTGCCAGACAGAAGGGTCAGGTACCGAATATCCACTGCAGCACAGCTTGGTCAAAAACAAACCACCCCCAGCCTACTGACTGGACACTGTCAGTGTCATGGACAGTGATCATTCCTCTGTTCTCACTCTCTCCTCCTGTGAGCATGTTTACATTTAACACACAAATATAAAACACAGCCTCACTGGCTCGCTGTGCTGGCCCTCCCATTCCCACATTGATTGCTGCTACAGGTACATATGCTAGTTCCATTTAAGAATAAATTTAATGCTTTAAATACCTGTAAATTATTTTCTTCTCGTGCAGAAACTGGAGGCCAAGAACCACACAAGCGGAATAAAATCTGCCAAAAGAATGACAGGCATGTCAAGCATGACACTCGTGACAAGTCGCCCTGCCCTCTGCACCCCATCCCCATAACACACCTGGTTGCTAGCTGCGAGAAGACATTGGCATGTATGTGCATCATCAGGTCCCCGCCAGGCATGTATTCCATCACAAAGCAGGTGTGTTCTGGAGTCTGAAAGCAGGCAAATAAGTTCACCAGGAAGGGGTGTCCAGAAGTATTTACCACCTCGAAGATGCGCTTCTCACACTGCAGACTGCAATTGAAAAAATATGTAACAAAAAGGAGGACAGAAGAATGAAACTTTCTACCTGACTTCTGGAAGACAGATCTATTTTCCAAAGTCACCTATCATAGGAGTGTTTGCATCCTCCCAGTTATGCCGGGTAAATGAAAAATGGAATATGACTTGTTGTTATGAACAACATGCTTGTAATGGGAAGCCTGATGTATATTGTTGGCTACCCATGTTCTCCCTGCGACTGCTACACTGGCACCTTTCTTCTAGGCCTCCAAATCCTCTCCCACAGCTCTGAGCTCCTCCTTGTCAAGAACCTGAAGCAGCATCTTCTGTGCAGGTAGGTGCTCCTACTCTTTCTGGGGTTTCTCCTCCCCTCCTGGGCTCTGAATGTCTATCTTTTCTTTGAAGAGTAATCTGTAGCAGGGTCTCTGCTAAATGACCTGCAGCCTTCACCATGTTTGGCTTGGCGTTGAGCCCCCTCCCATTAATGTGTGTATTAACACATGTGCATGTTTGTGCCCATGTAGCAGTGCACCACAACATTATAGTGCAGGTTTGTTTTGTTTATACCATGTACAATTGCAAGAAAAAGTATGTGAACCCCTTGGGATTACGTGGAGTTTTGCATGAATTGAGCATAAAATGTGCTCTGAACATCATCTAAGTCACAACAATAGAAAAACGCAGTCTGCTGAACATAATACTACACAAACATTAGATGTTGCCATGGTTTAATTGCACATAACATGTAAACATTCACAGTGCAGGGAGGAAAAAGTATGTGAGGCCCTAGCTTAATGACTTCTCCCAGAGCTAATTGGAGCCAGGTGTGAGCCAACCTTGACTCCAATCAGTGTGATGATATTGGATGTGTTGCTGACAGCTGTCCTGCCCTTAAAAAACACACACCTGTTTTGGGTTTACTGGTTTCAAGAAGCACTGTCTGATGTGAACCATGCCTCGCAGAAAAGTGCTCTCAGAAGACCTACGATCAAGAATTGTTGACTTGCGTGAAGCTGGAAAGGGTTACAAAAGTATCTCCAAAAGCCTTGATGTTCATGTGTCCATGGTAAGACAGACTGTCTACAAATGGAGAAAGTTTAGCACTGTTGCTACTCTCCCTAGGCGTGGTCGTCCTGTAAAAATGACTGCAAGAGCACAGCGCAGAATGCTGCATGAGGTAAAGAAGAATCCCAGAGTGTCAGCTAAAGACCTACAGAAATCTCTGGCACATGCTAACATTTTTGTTGACACATCTACAATAAGGAAAACATTGAACAAGAATGGAGTACATTGGAGGACACCACGGAGGAAGCCATTGCTGTCCAAAAAGAATATTGCAGCACGTTTGAAGTTTGCAAAAGAGTACCTGGATGTTCCACGGCACTACTGGCAAAATATACTGTGGACAGATGAAACCAAGATTGAGTTGTTTGGGAAGAACACACAACACTATGTGTGGAGAAAAAAAAGGCACAGCACACCAACATCAAAACCTCATCCCCACTGTAAAACATGGTGGAGGGAGCATTATGGTTTGGGGCTGCTTTGCTGCCTCAGGGCCTGGACGGATTGTTGTCATTGATGGGAAAATGAATTCCAGAGTTTATCAAGACATTTTGCAGGAAAACGTACGACCATCTGTCCGCCAACTGAAGCTCCGCAGAGGATGGGTGATGCAACAGGACAATGACCCAAAGCATACAAGTAATTCAACAAAACAATGGCTGCAACAGCACAGAATACACCTTCTGGAGTGGCCCAGTCAGAGTCCTGACCTCAACCCGATTGAAATGCTGTGGCATGACCTTAAGAGAGCGATTCACACCAAACATCCCAAGAATATTGCTACACTGAAACAGTTTTGTGAAGAGGAGTGGTCCAAAATGACTCCAGATCGTTGTGCAGGTCTGATCTGCAACTACAGGAAACGTTTGGTTGAGGTTATTGCTGCCAAAGGAGGGTCAACCAGTTATTAAGTCCAAAGGTTCACATACTTTTTCCTCCCTGCACTGTGAATGTTTACATGTTATGTGCAATTAAACCATGGCAACATCTAATGTTTGTGTAGTATTATGTTCAGCAGACTGTGTTCTTCTATTGTTGTGACTTAGAGGACGTTCAGAGCACATTTTATACCCAATTCATGCAAAACTTCACGTAATCCCAAGGGGTTCACATACTTTTTCTTGCAACTGTATATGTGTTGGGGTGCCATAAAAATAAAAAAAATTGCAATGCCCGTATACTGCACATTATCGCATATTGTGCTTGCACATTACTGCAGTGCACAAGGTGCGAAGCCAACCTAAGGGCTTTTTGTTTGTACCCTTGACCAGAGAATAGGGAGAAGGAAAAGCACAAGTAAGCAAGCAGGGTGTGTGCAATAAAATTGTCCCATTGCTTTGTCTTGCATAGGAGAAGCACAGGTTCACTTTAATCTGCTGCTATAAATAAAATTCAAGAAGAAAATGCTCACAACAAAAGCTGAGCCATGCCCTCTCCATTGGCCCATCACCGTGACTGGCATCCTCTAACCTAATGAGTCGTATGAGGTGGCAGACTGTCAGACTTCACCAGTAGAAGTCTGTAATTGCATATCTGAATGCTGGGGTTTCATGAAGAGGTTTAATGGGACAACTTGCACTTTAATTATTGCAGAAGCTGAGTACAACAAAAGGTGTGCTGTACTCACAGTCACTGACATATCAGACAATGTTAGAATAGATAGATTCAATTTCATTACAAAACAGCCAGAACATGTGTCCCTCTGATTATAATAGAATGGAATAGAATCTGAACCTTTCAAACTCATCTCGGCTCACGATATCACGCTTTTTCAGTGCTTTGATCGCATACAATTTTCCAGTTTCCTTATATTCAGCCAGAAGGACCTAAAAAAGACAAAAAAATGTAAAACCTTTCCCTAACATGTGGAGTAAATTTAGAACTATGTAAATGAATATGAAAACTCAGAAGTACACACGTATCAAGAATAGATCACAATGCAAAAATACCCTGCTTTGCATGGCCTGTTTACATAAACTTACCTTTCCAAAGTGCCCCCTTCCCAGCACAGAAATACAGGTGAAGTCGTCCAGGTTAAGGACATGTTTTCTGTAAAAAGAAATATTTGACCAAATATCTGAGTGGCAGTACATTATAGCAACAAGGTGCACTGAACTGCCCAGGAACAATGAACTCCCCACAGCTGCATAAATTTAACACCCAGCAACCCGAAAATCATCCATAGTAACATTTACCACCACAATAACACGAATTACCCACTTAACACCACTCACATCTATCTTTCCAACTCCTCAGCATAATATTTGTCATAAAGTGGTTGTAAAGGCTCAAGGCTTTTTACCATGCATTCTACACTTTTATAGGCAGCAGAATATTCACCTCACCCGAGTCCCTCACTGCCGCTGGTCAGCCTAGAAAGTCTGTGTACAGCCAGTTTGTTTTCTACAGCGATGTCTGGGTAGGTCTGGAGAAAGTTCTGTCCTTGCTCTCCACCTTTTCTGGATGTCAGGACCTGGGGGCGAAGCAGGCATGTTATTAGTTGCTAGGACCGCCGATGTCCTAGCAACCAATCACGTGCTTGTCCCACCCCTTTGCCCCAACATTCACTGAAGGATTAGGGCAAGAATGGAGGAGTGTGAAGTCCTAATAACGCTGACGGTGGATGCTGCTGCCGCTAAGCCTATAATCTCCACAGATCTGATTGCTGAGGCTCCATGTGGCAGGAGCAAGTAACTGGCCATTGGGAGCAAGGTGCTCTGGGGGGATGGGGGTGTTGAAGTACATGGAGGGTGGAGGCTCCTTAGGAATCAATTTAAAGAACTAGGCTGCAAGTTGAAGGGAAGGACCTTCAAGGTGATATTCTCTGAAATATTATCTGTGCCATGCGCAACTCAGGAAAGACAGGGGGAGATTAGAGAACTCAATGCATGGCTGAAAACCTGGTGTAATCATTTTTAGGGACTCTTTAATGACTGGCATAGTACCAATGGATTGGCATAAGGACAATGTGGTGCCAATATTTAAAAAGGGGTCAAAATCTTTACCAAGTAATTATAGACCTGTTAGTAACTTCTATGGTTGGGAAGATACTGGAGAGTTTAATAAAAGACCACATAGATGAGTTCTTGCTGGAAAAAATATTTTAAGCAACAGACAGCATGGATTCATGGAAGACAGAAGTTGTCAAACAAATCTGATTTCTTTTTATGAGGAGGTGAGCAAAACCTTGGACAGAGGGGTGGCTGTGGATGTGGTTTACTTGGATTTTGCAAAAGCGTTTGACACAGTTCCCCATACACGGCTTATGTGTAAGGTAAAGTCTATGGGCTTGGAAAAATCTGTATGTAAATGGATAGAAAACTGGCTAAAAGATCCTTTTCAGAGAGTAGTGGTTAATGATTCATACTCAGAATGGTCTAGGGTTGTCAGTGGTGTAACCCAAGGTTCAGTGTTGGGACCCTTACTTTTTAATATACTTATAAACAATATGGGGTCTGAGATTAAAAATCCCATTTCAGTCTTTGCAGATGACACCAAGCTGTGCAGTGGAATAATGTCCTTACAGGATGTCTCCAATTTACAAGCCGATCTCAATGCTCTGTTTAATTGGGCAACTATGTGGCAAATGAGGTTTAATGTTGACAAATGTAAGGTTATGCACTTGGGGGCTAAGAATATGCATGCATCATACATACTGGGGGAATCAATGGTGGAGGATCTGGGGGTTCTGGTAGATCACAAGCTTAATAATGGTATGCAATGCCAAGCTGCGGTTTGTAAAGTGAGCAAAATCCTCTCTTGTATTAAGAGGTATAGACTCCAGAGAGAGATATCATATTACCCCGGTACAAATCATTAGTAAGACCTCATCTGGAATATGCAGTTCAGTTTTGGGCACCAATTCACAAAAAGAACATTGGGGATACTTGAGAAAGTACAGAGAAGGGCAACTAAACTGATCCGAGGCATGGAGGAGATCAGCTATGAGGAAAGATTAGAGAAACTGAATTTATTCTCTCTTGAGAAGAGGAGATTAAGGGGGGATATGATCGCCATGTATAATACATAAGGGGGGATATGATCTCCATGTATAATACATAAGGGGGGATATGATCTCCATGTATAATACATAAGGGGGGATATGATCTCCATGTATAAATACATCAGTGGTTCATATAGTGAACTCGGTGTAGAGCTATTCACCCTGAGGTCATCACAGAGGACAAGGGGGCACTCTTTACGTCTGGAGGAAAAGAAATTTAATCTCCAAATACGGAAAGGTTTCTTCACAGTGAGAGCTGTGAAAATGTGGAATAGACTCCCTCAAGAGTTGGTTCTGGCCAGCTCAGTGGATTGCTTCAAAAAAGGCCTGGATTCTTTCTTCGATACACAGAATATAACTGGATACTAACATTTATAGGTCAAGTTGACTCAGGGATTATCCGATTGAATCTTGGGGGATCAGGAAGACATTTTTTTTCCCAGCAGGAGCAAATTGGATCATGCTTTACTGGGTTTTTTGCCCTCCTCTGGATCAACTGTGGGTATAGGATAACTTTTTTTTTTTCCTATGTTGAACTGGATGGACTTTTGTCTTTTTTCAGCCAGACTAACTATAACTATGAAGTTTAGACCCTGCCCTAACCCCCTTATTATCTACATCCCTGACGGGGGGAATTTGTTCATTTTTAGAATCAGGTCAAACAGACACCTGCACTGGCTGTTTCCTTTCCTGAGTCCAGGATTCTTAGTTTATTCTGAAGGTGTGTGGGTAATCTTGCAGGCCATATCTCTTAAAGATGGTCATGTAGAGGAAATATTCCCAGTTTTACCCTCATCACACATGCATTAGGCTTACCTGTGAAGTTTCTGAGACTCTGAAGCGCTCTGTGTGCTACGTTCCTCAGAATGAATGCGTTTCACAGACTGGAAAAGAACAAGGACATTAAAAGTACTGTTTGTGACTCATCAATGGATACAAATGCAATGCATACATGGATGACCCTATCAGAACTGGGAGAATGAAGTGTCTGTACTTAACGGACATTTTTCCCAGACATGTCAGACTGGTGCTGCATGTGGCCCGCTCCCTCCTGATCAGTAGGTAAAGAATGTAAAAACCCTAAACTGTTTTCTACTTGATAGAAGCTACACTGCCTCTTAAGTAGCCCAGGAAAGGTTTTAGATCCCTTTTCATCATACAGCTATTCTTTTTTTTAATCATGCAGGTTTAATTGTAAAAGGTATTGTAATTGTTTTCTTGTATAACAGACAGCAAAACAAAAAAACATTCACCTTTTGTAATATTGCAGGTGGTAATATGTAGTAGGAGGTGACAAATAGTTATCTTATAAAGCATACAAATTGTCACATATACTAGCACAACAGTCCACAATCACACACAGTTATACACAACATTCTCAGAACTAGAGTGTGACAACATACTGAACGAGCCATACTATATAATTTAGGTGTGTGTGTATTATATATATAATTTTATTAGTAAAGGGAACGTATGTTTTTACAGCTGATTTATGTAGTAGCACAATCAAGCATCAAATTACTAGCAACTAATTACTATAAGTAATGATCACTACACAATTGGAACAATAGACTCCCTATGGAGCCAGATACACAAGTAGCATGCTGTAGTGATTCGCACATATTTGGAGCATTGTAGTTATTACCTCCTACATGCTACTTGTGTACCTCACTTTATAGGATGCCATTAGTTCTATATGTGTGGCGATTAAATGCTACTAGGAGTACATAATCCCTAGCGCACCTTCATGCAAATGAAGGTTTAGCAGGTGTCTTACCTAAAAAAAATGGAGAAATGACAGGTCGGAGATCTATCTTAAGTGTCTTACATCAAGGAAGGTGGGTGCTGTTGCCTCCATTGGCATCGTTGATAATAGTATCAAGGCTGTGAAGAGACATCCCCAAAAGGCCATGCCGATTGGGTGTTCCTTGGACACAGGGTCCGTAGACAAGCACTTTAACAAGAGTGCTCTTCGTATGTATATGACAAACACCATTACAGGAGACAAGGAGAGATGCTTCCAATAGGCCATAACAGCTGAAATGAAAAGCTCCAGCTATTTGCTTCACACGCGCTATCAGCAAATGATCCACTGCCACAGTGGAGAGATCCCTTTTAAGGGATGACAACCCTTCTGCCATAGTCTGACAACTAATAATCAAAGGTAAAAAAAGGGGCAAATGGCAGAGCATGCTAGAAAGAAATTCTTTAAAACGCAGTCCTAACTGGAGCAGTAGACTGTCCATTACCCTGCTGGTTTCCTGGTTAGGGTGGGCCATTGATCTACACTGGGGATAGACCACAGTTTGACAAAATCCTTTCCAAATCATAACTAGTTTAGTAAACATATGGAAGGTGTCAAGGGCATGTCAGAGTGTTTAGCAGGGGAAGACCTTGAAGAGTGGGTGTAATTAAATGGTGTTTGCAGCTGCAGGGGCTCTAAAAGACCCGAGACTGCAGATTACAAGTCAAACATCTAGATTCAAGGCAGTGCACACTGCTTCAAAAAGAATCTGAATTATAAATGCATCAACTCCTGATGAATAATTTCATCACACACAGCTTGGAGTGACTCAGAATCCTATATAGTCACTGAAACTAATGGCTCAGAACCAACAAGGATTGTGGACAGAGCAGCCAAGCAAACTGCAAGGGAAGAAGCTGAAGCAAACTTAAAGCCTCTACGGTTATAGACAGCCTCAAACTGGGTGAATTGGGCCACAAAGTCTGATGTGACTGTAGTAAAGACCCCAGCTGACAAGGCAGGGGACTCAGCCCTACCCATAGAACAAATGTCCACAGAACATTAGTAGAGTGTGAGCCAGGGTCACTCATTGCAGCAGGACTGTCTCTGTTTAGAAAGACATGTTCATGTTAAGTTGGTAAGGCAACTTAAAGTGATTGTAAAGCTTTATTTTTTCTCAATTAAAATACTAATCGTCATACTTACCTGCTCTGTGCAGTGGTATTGCACAGAACAACCCCCGATCCTCCTCTTCTCAGGACTCCTCCGCCAGGACTCCTCTTCTGCAAGTGCCCCTATAGGAAACCGCTTCCTATGGGGGCACTCGTGCAGGCCCCACCCACCGCTCTCTTGCCACAGAGTTTGATTGACAGCAGCAGGAGCCCATGGCTCTTGCTCAAGCCACTTGCTCTGGAGGGCACTTGTGCATGCACGCTCCTGAGCCACCTTTGTGTGTCTATGAGACGCATAGAGTGTGGCTCAGCCCCGCCCTCTGCTCCCTCCTCACTTGCTGTGATTTACAGCAGCAGGAGCCAATGGCTCCTGCTGCTGTGTCTCAGCCAATGAGGAGGGAGAGAGTGCAGAGAGTGTAGAAATCGTACTGCCAAGACCATTCACCTAATTAAGGACTGAAGAAGGCAAGGCACCCAAAGAACCCTCCTCAAGAGTCTGCAGATCAGACAAGGAAGGAGAACCCATCCCCCAGGTGGACAGGTCCAAAGGAAGTCATCAAGACACTCTCTATACCTGGCAAAGGGTACCTGCAGCAGGAGACGAGGGTTTTCTGCCTGCTGACAATCCAAGATGACATGAGGCCCTCCAGCAATGCTCTCCTCCTGCTATGCATGATTTTAGGTGCATGTACTGCTCCTTTCAGCGCAGAGGAGCCAGTTGAGGAGAACCAGTTAACAAGGCATTGTTCTTAAGGGAAATAGTGCAAGCAATGCCAAGACCTCCAACATAATCCAGTACAGTTGACCTAAGTACCTCCCCTGTTGCAGAAGGACCCCCACCGTTTCCAAATGATAACTCTAGATGGTATCCAATTGAGTCCAATCCAGGAAAACTTCCCAAGGTGGGATCCCACCATATGGAAGGAACTAACTGTTCTAAAGGGCCAGACAGTAGCCCTGAGAATAGTGGTTCTTCAATTAGCAAAGGCCCTCCTGAATATGGGTAGAAGAAACTATCCCAACCACCTAAAGAGGCTGAAGGATCACACCAGGAACTACCTGGTCTAAAGAGACAGACCTGTTGACCATCACATGTCCAATCCAACAAGGCCTGGGAATGGCAGTCCAGAACCAGGCTCAAGAAAGGCCACTTCAGGCAGCTGCTATGCAGAAGCCAGGTGAAGCAATGATGTAGTGAGGAATCTTCAGGCAAGTTGATGGAAGAATCCAAAGATACAACAAAATAAATTAAAAAGGTTAGCAAAAACTGGTTCGATTTTTCTCAAAAGAGCTGAAAAAAGATGTTCATCCTCCTTGGATACTAGCAAAAAAACCACAGTTCAGTTTTAGGCAGCTCTATATCAGTATGTTGTGCAAGTCCTTGCACCGGGAAGCCTTGTAGAGCTTTAAGTAGAATAAAGGCTCTAGACCTAGGTCCACTTCTTGCCTGTTGGCAAGACCTCATTAAAGGAGAAGTTCACCTTTGGGAACATATTACATGTTCCACCTGCTCCTGCAGCCGCTCCCCAATTTCCCCCCTCTCTGTTACAGCAAACTGGGGATCTTCTCCGTGCACCCTCTGGCACGATTTGAAAAGAGTGCGGCCATGCAGGGCTATGCCCACACGGCCACGTCGTTCATTCACAGAGTCCTGTGAATATATGAACTACAAATACTGAACTTATCTTTAATCAGTCTGAGCGGTCTATAGAACATGTTATTTGAGCTGATGGTAGAGACTTTAGCTCTCTTCCAGTCTGCTGTGACAGCCTGCTGCTGGGTGGAAAGACTGACAGCTGACCAAACACTAGGTATCAAAGTTGCCTGTTTGTTTTGGGGAAACCGTTATGATGGGGCCCCTGTTGGTTGAGAGCAGCATACATATAATATATAAATTAATTATATATATATATATATATATATATAAATAAATAAATAAATAAATAAAAATAACATCACAACATTCAGGCAGCATACATTATCTGTACAGTTGACTATATTAAACCTGTGCTGAGCTCAAATCTGCAAACTTAGCTGCAGGACAGCATGCACCATAATGTGCCAGGTTGTACATTCAGAGGGCCAATGAACCACAACCCCGGGTTCATTTGTAAATCCTGACTTGCTAGTTTAGGTAATGTGGGCATGCTACCTCTCCCCCTTTCTGCACTGAGTATATGGTGTTGAGTAACTTAGCAACTGACTATAGTGTTACCACATGAGGTCTAATTACCCATGTCAATACCAGCTTTCAGAAAGTCATCCTTTGCACAGGCTCTTCTTCAGTGGTGCCATGGGGACTCTGTATGTAAAAGCCAAACTGTGATGTTGCAATTTATGTCACAGTCTCTTCGGTGTGAGGTTAGGTCACACATTTTAACTTGAGCGGATGCTTATTATTTAAAGGCCAGAGAGAAGTTGCAAAACTATTTATGTAAATGAATAAATTAAAAAAAATACCATGCTGATCCTTCCACAACTTCATGCAGGCATTCGGATGGTGTAATTTAAATATGACTGAAGGCAGTTAGCTTTTTTCACAGTGTGCTAAGAGAAACGTGGGTGCACCCTTTGGTGACCACCTTTTGAAAATGGCAGTTGCTTGGCTCTTACGTTCAAATCTCTGCGTTCAAAACATGCATGTGGCAAGTAATGTCAGAATTCTTTATAAGAATGCTTGTTCCAGGTAAGTGACTCAAAGTACTGAAAACAGAAATAGCCAGGCAACTAATATTTTCAGAAGATTATCAAATGGGAGCCTACAATTATTCCCCACAACAGGTGTCCTTTAATAGTGATCGTATTGGTGGGTGACACTACTCACCTTTGCTGGAACTTTGGGCGAGGAGTCCATAGGTGCCCCTACTTTTTCAGACTCAAGTGGTAAGTAGATTCGAGGAGGTTTGAGTGGAGGCTTTAATGAGGATTCATCAGTGAATACTAACTTTTTTATGGGAATATTACTGAAAGGGAACAAAAAAGGTATTTAGAAGCAAGAGACAACAACAAAAAAAAAGTCCTTTCAATATTGTCTAGTGTATCTTACCAGTCCCGCCATCCTAATCTGGCTAAGCACCAGGCAATAATAGAGTGCAGTGGGGTAGATATCTCTGGAGTCTGCAACCATTAGAAAGCCAGCTGATTTTGTCAGACTCCCCATGAAGGGTTCAAATTAATGTAGAGGAAATTAAAGGCAATGTATAGCAAATTTTGTACATATTTTTCCTCCTTTAGTGGTATAAAGCCTAAAGAAGGGATCTAACAGGTATCAAAAGCTTGTATCTTTAAAAACGTCAGTTAGCCAATGAAAGGGTAGTACACACTCTAAACTTTCTGCATTATAATTACAAAGACTAAATATTTTGTATTTCCATATGTAGGCAGTAGAGTTCTCAGTTCCTTTTTTCATGTGTTTTCCAGACTACTTGATATCTGTTGTAAAAAGACTGCTAAACCTACTCCCAGCCCCATCCTAAACCTAATCTAAAGCTATCAAGAAAAAAAAAATAATCTCTGAACTTACCTATACTGAAGCCACTCTGGTCCAGTCTCTAGTGGTGGCTTCTTTGAAGAGAAAGAAGGCCGACAATGGCTGGTAAACAAAGTGGATATGATGTCACCCATAGACTTACATTGGGGCATCCATTGTCAGCTGTCTCTGTTCTACACAGAAGCCACCGTTGTCAGCTCAGCCTGGAATCAGACCGACTTAACAATTGGTAAATTTAGTGATCTTTTCTTTATAGGGTTAGATAGATTAGGCTTAGAATGGAGGGTGTTAGGTTTTGGGTGGCATTCCATTTCAAAAGCTCAAGCAGCAATCTACACACACAATTGAAATGATTTAAAGTAGTAACTCCTCCCACTTCTTACATAAGACTCTATCTGAGATTTCAATTAGAGACAGAATGTCTGAAAGGATCTCTCTTTAGAAAACCAACACATTGCTCTGTGAATCCTGTGTCATGAGTGTGCGCAGCATTAAGGGCTTACTCAGGCAGCAAGAACATTGTTAAGTGGAATAATGAAGAGGGGAATATGTCAGACTGCTTTAGATGCAGACCAATATGCTCTATGTGGGTTCAGCCATCCGGCTCTCTAGTGTGGTGCCAGCAGAGGATGGCTTAGTACTATTAAACACTAAGACAGAACAAAAAAATTATGAGGTCATATTTGCTATGCAGCTCGAATGCCAAAAAAGTAAAAAAAGTGAAATGGGGGGGGGGGGGGGGGGGGGGGGGGGGGGGGTCCAAATGGGCTTTGAAGTAAACCTGTTATTGACCTTGGCTTATCAAACTAGGCACATAATGAAAACATGTATAAGCTGTGGAAAACCATGTCAAAATGATCAATAGATCCAGATAAACAGGCAGCTGAAGTTATACATTTTTGTCCTATGAAACCACAACCTCACCCTCACCTCCTGAATCTCCCCATTTGTCATTGAACCGGCCATCACATTAAAACGACAGACAACGGGATCTCAGTGACAGGGGGTATGGAGCAAAAGCTCAACTTTTACTGGGATGAAGGATTTCTCCACTTTAGAGCAAGATTACAACCATCTACAGGTGGATGTACAGTGGGAACCTACCTGTAGTTTGCAGAATTTGCCTGATTCTCTGTAGGGGTAGGGACAGGAAGGGGTGGGCTTAGTGTTGTTATGGTGCCGCATGGCGGTAAAATGCTCATCATTAAGCGGCCCCATGTAGCAAAGTTGATGTTCATTTGGGTGGCACGAAGGAAATCCTTTCCTGGAAAAGAAAAAAAGGAGAGAAATAACTGCTTTAGCATTGTAGGGCAACTCTGAGCAACATTGCTGGAAATGTCCAATTCTTGTAAAACGTACTCTTGTAAGAGTAACTCCACTATTGTTGATAAAGAAAATGATCTCCAATGGATGATCAATGTATGTTGCAGGGATTTAACAAACACTGTAGAAGATGCCTCCTTATTTCTGCTCTGAGGGCTGATTCACATTTTTTTATTAACATTAAGCTACAATATGGTTTGTGTAGCAGCTGTATATGCTATATAATTTTTATTTGCTATTTTTTTTCCTCACAAGTGGAGTTACCCTTTAACAAATACAACTTTTGGGGAAAAAAAAAAAAAGTCAACCCTTTAAGTAGTGTTAAGGAACAACTTTTTAAGGCTAATAAAATAAATCAAGTCTGGCATCAAGGTCTCCAAGTCAAGTTTATCCCAAAGAGTGTTGAGGAAAAAAACAGCAGAAAAGGCATAGCACAGTTACCTTTCTGTTTGGGAAATATACGCTTCTGTCTCTGTACCTTGCCCCTCCTCTCGATCACAGGATTACAGAACATAATCTGCAAATAAAAATATATCATTCACATGGAAACTTTTTATTTTATTAAACCTACACTGAAGCAAAATATGGTACCTGACCTCTCCTACTGAATAAAATCGCTGCCTGGCTGTCACGTTTCAATCCTGCCTGGATTACTGGCTTGAAATAAGTAGATTGACCAGGAGATATGACTTCAGTAGCTGCATTCTTATTCTAGATTAGCAACTCAAAAGAACTAAAGTCATTAGAGCCGCGTGGCAGCCAGTAACTGCCATTCCCAGACGAAGGTGGGAAATAGCAGCCTCCAAGTTTCTTTTAGGCCGTGTTCACACCATGGTGCAGAAATGTCAGTTTTTTTGCACTTGTCTGCAAGGGCACAACAAAATCAGTTGTTCTCTATGTGCCTTGCTCACACCACAACACTGGTATCACCTGCAGATTCTTTTTCTGCGCAGGAATCTGCCACATGTTAAAAATCCATTGCAGCATGCATGAAAACTGATGTAAACTGATGTCTCTGCAAGTGAAATCTACATGTACGTTTCCATCAGTTATCCTGCATGTATGGTGTGAACAAGGCCTAAACCTTACATTTAGTATGACCCAGAACAGAAAATAGTAACCAAAAGAAGACAACCAATGCAGTCTAATGGACTGCTCTTTGCAACCAATAGGACACCACATGTGCCATCCAGTCTCACCTCAGCAAACAGCATTCCTTGGGGTTCCATCTGCAGACACACCCCATGGCGTTCATTGTCCAGGAAGTCCTCCAGGCGCACAATACGAATGGCGCACAATTCTCGCCAATCTCTCCAGTGAATGGAAATCTCCATTTCTCGTGACTGCATGGGGTAAAAATGACAGGTTCTAAGCACAGAAACACACAAGGCAATACACAACACAAGAGCATAGCATGGAACACAAGTGTAGATAAAAACGTTACCCTCTCCAGCTCAATGCTAAATCTCTGATCCCAGCACTGGTTGTGTACAGGACCCCAACCAGTGTGTCCCACTGGCTTATTATCAACCTTCAGGAAGCACATCACTTCTCCTGAGGAAAAAAAGACAAAATGTTACCCACACAACTTTATATTCAGTTATACTAAATACCATAATTATGATTATTCCTTTATGAATTCCCTCATGCCCTTATATATTTTTTTTTTCCATATTTGTAAAAAAAAAATGTTAGCTGAGTTAGGGTTTGATTTTTTTCAGGAAAAAAAACACTTTGCTGTGGTAAAGAAGTATGGCCAAAGCTCTTATAGCTATACTTCTCCTTGGTATCACAAGAATGCACTTAATTCTGCACTCTTGAGAACCGGGCTCAGTTGGCAGCAGGCTAAAGCCAGCTGACATCGCAGAGCTGGTCCAGGGATCCCAATAATGTCAAGATCCACCCACTTGCCTGACTGGTAGCTGGCTCAGCCTCTTAGCACACCACTGAGAGCCTGAGCCAGCTGCTCCCACACCCTTCTCAGCCCAGCACTCAAGTGAGCACTGGAGGGGCAACGCAGCGAGCCGGAGACTGACAGTCACTGCTCTGTACTCACTGAAGACAGAGTGATCAGCAGTGTTTGATTGCTCAGTTCTTGGTGGAGGTGGAGAGCAGGTGGAGGACAGATGCAGCATTGGATCTATGCTGCATCCACCTAGATGAGTATGTAGGTTTATTTTGTTGAAATCCCAAACTTCTCTTTTAATGCTAGCAACAGATAGTATCACAGAGTAATTCTGACCATACTTGTAACTTTAAATGTATGTAATAGCAATATTTAAAATTTGTGTTTATATGCAAATATTTATACACAAAGAAAGCACATACAATTGGTACAGAAGAACAATAGTAACCTAGAAACATCAATACAAATCAGCAGAAAATGATGTCACCTAAATACATTCACAATGCCCAATTATAATTCTATACATATCAAAATTAACATGAACACGTAGGGATACCAGGACTAGGTCTAGATCCTCATTGACAACATGTAGGCACTTACATATTTTTTTTATACATACACGCACACACAGTATATTTAAAAAGGTAAGCACATACATATTGATCATGAGGATCCAGTCAAGAGATGCTATGGTGGGGGGGTGGGGGTAACGGGTAGGGAAGGGTATGATACCCTATCCTCCCTGTCTCAGGCCAAAGAGCCATTCCCAACCAGGGACAGAAATGTTATGTTTTTTCCAGTAAAGTTTTTGGATTCTGAAATATAAGAGAAGTCATGTCAATAATACAGTTTTCCAGAATTTTTCATGAAAGCCTTTGTCTGTAGAGACAAGGTCTTCCATTCTATGATGTCATCAAGGCATTTGGTGGTCTATGCCTTGTTGGTGATATTTCCCTTCACTTCTGGTCCTATAGACACAATAAGACTCCTTTCACGAGCGTCAAAAAGTATTTAAAAAAAAAAAAAGCAGCTGATCCTCGTTTTTTCTTACTGTGCAGCATGGCAGCTTAAGGGGGGTGATCAACATACCAGAGCATATTTCGCTCCAAAAAAAAAAAAATCATTAGGATTGCCTCTTGAACACCTGATCCTTGCTGCGGATCCTTTCCCATAGGATGCCGGAGACTACAAATCATGTAAAAGCAACCCAAATGAAAGGAAGTCTCTACAGTGCAAGAGAAGATCTCAACAATGTCAAAAGGAAATTCCCTATTAAGACAGCGGACATCAGAACAAGTGAATTGTTTTCATCACTTACTACTCTACAAACAAATAGTCACCAGGACAGAAAGAGTTTGAATCTACCCAGGGGTGACACAGAGAGCTATAAAAACCTTGATTGATGATCTAATCTTTCCCTCCTGTCACACAAAACTAAAAAATAAGTCTCTATTGTCCATTGAGGGACACAAATTCAGAAACTGTTAGGTTATACTGCTGCCTGCAGGAGGATTGTAGACTGGAAACAGAAAAAATGGAAGCCAGCTTCTTCCATACCCCTTCTCCACCAAGCATGCCTCAGTTTTTTGCTACTATTCCAGAGGGATAAACATCTTTTCTTCAGCTTTCTAAGAAAAATGTAACTAATTTTTGCTAGACTTGTTTCTTTGATTTTGTTGGTGGATTTCCTCTTTCATTGACTTTACTCACTACATTGCTGCTTAAGCTGGTTTCTAGAAAGCAGCTATCCAGATCTGCCTTTGGGGTGAAGTACCCGCACAGCACTGGTTTGGAATGTGATTAAGCACTGTATTGTACATTGTAGCAATTTTTTTTTTTTAAAGGTAATTTTATTATTTCACATATAAACCAAGAACAAATAGTGGTAAACATGGTACCCAATGATGGGTGCTAAATACAGTACAGGCTAGAGACATATCTAATAGCCAGACTACAAAATCAATGAAAATCATATACAGTTCCATCAATGTTACAATACCGCAACAAACAACTTAGCTGGTGAATAAAATACTGAATACAAATCACAACACAGACGGTAGAATAGGAGTCAAAAAATTATCTCTCTTTCCTTTCCCATACGACTCCCCCTAAGCAGTGGTAGTTATATGAGCTACATGAAATAAATTACATTCTAAACCTCAATATCTCCCGATACTGAGGAAGTCCAGGTAGACCAAATTTTATCGAATTTACAGGGACAACCTCTAGCAATATAGATCAATTTATAGTTCAATTTATAAAGCAGCAAGGGTTCATTAACCAATCAAATCCACATTGATAAAGTGGGGAGGTTCAGGTTTTTTCCAATGTAGTGCAATACATTTGTTGGCATAAAAGAACAGGAAACGTGTCAATACCTTTTGGGATTCACGGAGGTCCTCCTCCCCAAAAAGTAGCCAAGTAAGCATCTATTAGGATTACAGAAATTAGGTAGGGCTAACTTGTCCCCCCCATAAATTTAGTAATAGAAGACCAAAAGGATGTGACCTCGGGACAGGCCCGCACCATATGAAAGAAATCCCCAATGGCTGCAGAACACCTATGACACTATTGAAGGTGACAGCCTACCCATAGTATATAACCGGAGTGGGGTGTAGTAGATCCTATGAAAGACTTTCAACTTTATCACATGCAGCAATAACACTATTCACTTAGGACCCCACCACCTTGTGCCAGGAGTCATCCTGTAGTGTTGGGAGATCAGATTGCCACTTCCCTTTAAGTTTGTCCGCACGGGGAGTTTGAAGGGGTAACAGTAGCTGATAATACATAGATATCAACTTGAAGTGTTCCTTCCCCAACAAAGCAGCCTCCAGTGCGGATGTCTGAAGAGCCACTTCCCAAAGGCCAAATTAGGAAGCGACTACATGGCGGAGTTGAAGATAAAAATGCTTTTCAAATTTCCCCCACTGCCAGTTTCACTACAGTAAGATTTAATGTTTAGTGCCATCATCAACCGCTGGATGGAGAGCTTCTTCTCTGCCATTTTGCGTAGGGGAAGCATTCCGCTGCTGCTCCTGCTTGCAAAGCACCACATGGAGCTCTAGTTCATTCCCATTGCCTGCTTACAATGACCTGGTCACCTCCAGCTGTCCAACTCACCTTAGCATCAGTCTGAGTTCTCTGAGACCTTGCCTCACACTTTGGGCCTAGTTGTATTATCACTATGTGGATGCAGCATGTCTGCATATTGACAAAGGGTGCAGCCCTGCTGCTAAGGGTGACCCCAGCCCAAACTCCTCTAGTGGTTCTGCGGGTGTCTACTTAATATCCTCTAAGGAATCCGGCACCTGCCATCTGAAATTTGTTACCCTTATAGTTATGGGGTCTACATCATTGGAGTCTTCCTTGGCCTGGTCAGGTAAGGCCTAATCCTTTCCTCAGGGACCTTCATGTCCCATCAAGACTTTGTCTTACCCAAATCCACTCAGATGCAAACCACATAACTAAGCACGCTCCAGTGCCCTCCGCTGCAGATTCTCGGACTCTTATAGGCACCTGCTGCTTGAGTTTGTGATTACCCGAGGCCTTGCCTCACATTTTGGGCCTGGTTGCATCACCACTACAATTCCCTATGGTTCCAGGGGCATCCACTCAGTATCTTGTTAGATACTCAATTCTTACAGTCTGGAATTGAGAGATCCCCTAGGCATAGGGTCAGTCACATCTGTCTCTTTAGCTTCCCAAGGTGAGGCTAAGTACCTTATTCTGTCATCAGAGCCCCTACTGCAGCTCAAGACTTTTTGGCCAGATTCACCAATTCCTTTAGGATACTGACCACAGCGGTTCGCAGCAAAACAGGAAATGGACTCTCCTTAACTAGTAGTATCTCCATTAAGAGATGAGGTTAGCACACCAATGTGCACCTCAGATGCTACGTTGTGGACAGAGATCATCACCTGGACTTTCATGTTTTAGGTTTCTTCTGAGGGTTATATCCAGCATTATCTGTTGATCACATCTGATTGTGGGTCTCTTTTCCCTATTCAGAAACTTCTTGTTGTTCCACCCGTTTTAGTGGGTTCTGATCGATCAACTTCTTGCTGGTTCAGGCTGTGTGAATGTAAAGTGATTCTCCTCTGGTGTTGTCCTCCTCTATCCTGATCTGTAGAATTAGGTTGATTTTCCATTTTCTCCCTTTGGTCGTGTTGGCAGGTTACCCAATCTGGTATGGAGTTCCACCTCACCTAATTCAGATTTGGGCATTGATCCTTCAGGAAACTCCTAGGCTGTAGGTGGTCCACAGTCCTCTTATTAGGGCCTGTTATTGGTTGCTGCTCTATTGCCCACCCCTCAGTTGGACTGCTTTTGGACAAATAGATTGTATCTGAATTCCTGTGTGCTTCAATGGACAAGAGAGAGAAAAATAGAATTTTCATGCCCACTGTAAAATCCTTTTCTTGGAGTCCATTGAAGGACATAGGTCCTGCCCCCCTGTATTTCTGCTGTTCATAATTTTGGTATGCGGGCAGGCCTACAATTTTTTATGTTTGGCAGAGTCCAGTGATTCTGTAGGTGACAGTATAACCCAACTATATCTGATTATGTTCCTAAATGGACTCCATAAAAAACAATTGTACGGTAACTTTAAAATTCTATTTTGGTTTTAGCAGAGCTCCCTTCAAAAGGGGAAGTTCCACTTGAAGTACTGGTCCCCTGCTCCCTGTGAGGAATTGGCACCTTTGGAGAGAGGGGGGGGGGGGAGTGGATAACCGATTTTGACAGGTACCTGCTCCCACTTCCGCTGCGATTGCTTAGGCGATTGGAAGCGGAAGTTGTCCACCCCCCTACGGGACCATTCACAAGGCGCAGCACTACTCACACATGCGTAGTGGGCATCTGGGCTGGATATGAAGCTGCAAGCTGTCTCAACCAGGTGCCCACACTTAAGATGCCGGCCCCGAAGAGCAAAGACAGCCGGTGAAACTGGCTGGGATGAGCACACTGCTGGCACGTGGGACAGGTGAGTGGCTGTTTTTAAAAGTCAACAACTACTGTTTTTGTAGCTGCCGACTTATATTTTGGTTTGACTGGAGCTCCGCTTTACGTAAGATACACTTCACACTAACATAACACTGCAGCTGATCACAACCAAAACAAGGAGGCTGGCCGCAACCAAACCCAAGGATTGACCTTCCTCTAATCCTGGTATGTTGCCCTGTATGGGCAAAGCACAGGCTCCCTTTATTTGCACAGTCTAGCATCTGCTTGCTCTTTTGAGGAAAAAAAAAATAATAAACTTCAGAGCAACCACATACCACAGAACTCATCTGTTCGCAGATGGCGCCCTGAGCCTCCTCGTCCATAACCGCTTCCTCCAGTTTTGTAGCGTATGAAGTTCTTTGTGTCAGGGCTACCATGAGTTGTGGCAGCACGAGGGCGTCCTGGGACATTTTCTAGCAAGCCTTGACAGCCCAAAATGTGTATCTCCAAGGTCCCTGTAGAAGATAGAAGACCAGGCAGGTTCAGATATAAACTCATGTTTTAAACTGCTGTGCTTTGTACTTCAACTACAGCTGAGATACCTGTGAGTGCAGTGGCTTTGATAAGGGATTTTAGGGGCTGACCGAAACTCTGGTCTTTCCCGCATACTCCCCCTGAGGATGGAAAACACTGCAGATCCTGCTTGACTAACTCCTGTTTTGGATGTCCTGGGGGCAGCTCAGAAAGGCAACACTCCATTGATAACCGTAGAAGGTCAATCTTCTGGCAAGATTCATGTAACCTGGACTGAGCCTGGGAAAAAAAGGACCACTATCATTATATTTAAACAGCTGTTTAGTAAGTACATTGGAAATAGCATCAGATATATATTTTCCTGGTATTACCTTTCAGAGATCATAAATACTCCCCCTGACAATGCATTTATCTGCTTTTTTACACCCTGGAGCTCTGTGCAAGCACAGAGATTACACAATCATGTGCATTCTGGTGCCTGTGCAGTTCTTGACCGTGTCCAAAAATATCGGACACAGATTGGCCCCTGCTGCAGCCTCTCACCTTGTGACTTGCTCCAAAGTTTAAATGTTGCACTCTGATCACTGGGAAAGAGGAGACTGTGAAAATGCCTGCAGCATACGGATGACATAATTTTAACCTAGGTTAAGTCACAGGACACTGAGCTCAAGGTCTGTTTTAAATGTTAAAAAGGAACAACTTTGCTGGAAAAAAATATACAGCTGCTGTATATTGTGCTGTGGCAGGACTTCAGTCATGCAGACTTGTAACTTTCCTGAACTTTCAAAAGGGACACTAAACAGTATAGAAATACAAACTGTCATTATGCTGCCTCCTTTCATCTGCAATAGCAGCAAACTGATTTTTACACACCTCAAATAAGACATTGTCATACACTACCATTAGTAAAAGTTTAGAATCTCTTTTCACTAAGTACAGGGCAAGGAAATAAAGCTGTCATTATTTCTGATTGGGGTTTTGCTACAAATACATAGGTGAGCCCTAAGCACTGCACAACCCCACCTCACCTCAGCTAGAGCCTTGCGGTCCTGCAATTTGCGGCCACCTAGCAACTTGACCACATTCTTAGCGCCTTCGGCCACAGCTGCTTCCACTCGCAAGCGGCGTCTCAGCTCTTCCACACGCAGCTCCAGTGGTGAAAGGGTCTCTGTTGAGTCACTGAGGTCAGTCATGGACCCTGGCGATTGGGTCAGTTTTACGATCTGCATGCGAAGCAATTCGGTTTTTATCCGGGTGTCCTGAAGCATCTGCTGAGCCGTAGCCATCAGCTTCCTGTCCTTTAAAAAATGACAAAGATATTAAAAGGGTTTTCTGTTTGAGATTCCTCCAATCTCCCTCTAAAGAGAAACTATAAATAGTTTTGGCTGATTTCGTTCTGTAAAAATGTACAATTTTTATAAACTAAAATGTATGTGCTTGCATAACATTATAATTTAACAAAATAAATTTTTTTATACAGTACATCCATGACAGAGAGCTGGGCTTTTTAACGGAATAAAATTAGTTAATATTACTATAAGTGATATTCTAAGAAAAGTTATGTTTTAGGTCAAGGAACACAGAGATGACGAGTTGTGAAATCATCTGTGCTGGAAGTTAAAGCACACATACAGAAATTCAGCCAGTTCAGCAGGTCTGTGTGTACTGCTGTCTGTTCAACAGAAACCGGTTGTCAGACAGTCATGCTGGAAAAACAGAATTCGATCAGTACTTGCAGCCAATGGCTGCAGTGCTGACCTGTGTATTTTGATGGGGGGGGGGTTCCCCGCTGTCAGAATATAAAGACACAGCGTGATCCCTGCGTCAACATCGCTTGGAGTTGACATTGGGATCAGCTAGTTTTTTTGTTTTTCTTCAACTGGCTGGTATAACAAAATAATAATTAAAAAAACATGTATACCCAGTTTAAAGGATAGGTTCACCTTTCAACAAAAAATATTAAATGCACATTTTTTTGCGGGTACAAAAAAATGTGCATTTACTAAGTTTTGTTTTGGGAGCCTGGAAAACATTGCACCAGCAATCAGCAGATTTCTGGTGCCATACAGGACTCCTGTAGACACGTCAGTGTATCTGTGTCCGTACATCGAACGGGCAAGTAGACACACTCTGACATGAAGAACCAATGAACTACCATAGCGCTAAACAGCATTGTGTAGTTCACTGAAAACTAAAAGCTGACAGCTGCAAAGCTTGTAGTTTTCATATTCACAGAATACTGTGAATGAGAGACAGGGCCGGCCATTTTTTATTTAAATTGTGACAGCTCGTGGGGGGAGAAGATCCCCCCCTAGCTGTCATAACGGGGATCAGGGGGAGTGAGGGCCAGTCTTTTCGTAACATGTTGCACCCTGAATATATGTGTAACTTGTAACAAACTTGTTACGAAAGGTGAACTTATCCTTTAAATCAGAATATACACAGACAGTTTTTCTTTCATTCAACAAGCGGGTTGAATAAAAAAAAAAAAAAAAAAAAAAAAAAAAAGAATGGATGCAGGGATCTCCCCCACTGCACTATTGTATTCTGACAGCAGAGACTCCCCCACCCCCTGTAAAAATACACAGATCAGTACTTCAGCCATTAGCTGCAGGCGCTTATTGAATGCTGGTCTTCCAGCATGACTGTTTAACAAGAGCTGGCCATTAGACACACAGCGGTATACACAGAGAGAGAAATTTGTCCAGTTCTTGCTGAATCGGCTCATTTTCAATCTGTGTATACCAGCCTTGAAGTGGGGGCAAAGTTGATTTTGACCTATATCTAAGTCTATACCAGTCACTTCTACAGTAAATACCTCCTCAACCTGCACAGTTTAGGAGATATTTACTGTAGAGGCAGCCGATGTCATACTGTGGCGTTCCACTAGAGCCCTGTACTGTAAACAGTGATGTCATCGTGGCTCAGCCATTGATACCGCTGAAGCTCATGAACCCAGAAGGAAGACCAGGTGAAGATGGAGCGGTGACAGCATGCCACTGGAGGGCTTCGTTTTCAGGTAAATCTGTCAATGTGCTAGTATGCACAGCAATTAATTTGGGGTATACTGAGCTAGACATTTCACTGAGCTGGAGGAGCTGGCTATTTTACTTTGACTCCCCATAGATCTATACAGATACTGGAAACCAGGGTCCATCAAAAGAGATAGTAGTTGGGATCATATAAAAAAAAAAAAAAAAAAAACAATTGTCTGCCAGTTTATAGCTTTACTTGTGTGCTATCTCAGCCACCATTATGGGCACTTTACACGTCACTGATAAGGATGAATTGCTGTTCAGTGGTAACGCCCAATGGCTTTATCTGTGCACTTCCAAGTTCCTGTTTCAGAAAATGATCAGCCCATGAGACCATTGCCCCTCTTATGAACACCACAATGTGTTTGCCAAGTTATCCATTGCCAACAGGTTAACAGGGAGTATACAGGAGCCCTGGCAGAGCAATGTTCTAGGCCTGTTGATTCAGCAATATTGTTAGAATTACTTCTAAGGCTCCATGCACGCAGGGCGTTTTAATAACGCTGGTAGCGTTAGCTCTGTAAAGTCCGTAAAAAACTCAAGGTTTTCAGCATTTTTGCATTAGCGTTTAGCCTCGTTTTTCCATTTGTGGTTTTTAGCTCAAAATTTTTTTGCTCAAAAAAAGAGTCATAAAATGCCGGTTTGCCACGTTTTTACCGTGTTTTTCAGCGTTAAGAGTGTTTCTACAGCTAAAAAACTCCTCTAGAAACACATTCTTTATGGGGTTTTTCCATCCAAAAAACGTTGATTACAGTCTATGTGTGCATGGACACATAGGATAACATGCTGGGGGGTTTACTGGCTGTATAAAAAATACCAAAAGCCAAAAACATCCACTGTAAAAATGTCCAGTGTGCATGAGGGATAATATTAAAGTAATACATACATTTTTGAGGGGGGGGGGGGGTCAAATGAGGCTCTCTTTTAACAACATTGTTTAGCAAAATAGTTTTAGGCTCCATGCACACAATTTTTTTTTTAAAGCTCCGAGAAGCTATTGAGCATTTATTTTTCTTCTCCTGTGAGGAAAGATTAGAGAAGAGGAGAGGAAAGATAATAGATAAGGGGGGAAGATCTCCATGTATAATACATAAGGGGGGATCTCCATGGATAAGGGGGGATATGATCTCCATGTATAATACATAAGGGGGGATATGATCTCCATGTATAATACATAAGGGGGGAATGATCTCCATGTATAATACATAAGGGGGGATATGATCCATGTATAATACATAAGGGGGGATATGATCTCCATGTATAATACATAAGGGGGATATGATCTCCATGTATAATACATAAGGGGGGATATGATCTCCATGTATAATACATTAAGGGGGATATGATCTCTCCATGTATAATACATAAGGGGGGATATGATCTCCATGTATATAATACATAAGGGGGGATATGATCTCCATGTATAATACATAAGGGGGGATATGATCTCCATGTATAATACATAAGGGGGGATATGATCTCCATGTATAATACATAAGGGGGGATATATGATCTAAGGGGGGATATGTATAATACATAAGGGGGGATATGATCTCCATGTATAATACATAAGGGGGGGATATGATCTTCATGTATAATACATAAGGGGGGATATGATCTCCATGTATAATACATAAGGAGGGATATGATCACCATGTATAATACATAAGGGGGGATATGATCACCATGTATAATACATAAGGGGCGATATGATCTCCATGTATAATACATAAGGGGGGATATGATCTCCATATATAATACATAAGGGGGGATATGATCTCCATGTATAATACATAAGGGGGATGTGATCTCCATGTATATACATAAGGGGGGATATGATCACCATGTATAATACATAAGGGGGGATATGATCTTCATGTATAATACATAAGGAGGGATATGATCACCATGTATAATACATAAGGGGGGATATGATCTCCATGTATAAGGGGGGATATACATGTATAATACATAAGGGGGGATATGATCTCCATGTATAATACATAAGGGGGGATATGATCTCCATGTATAATACATAAGGGGGGATATGATCTCCATGTATAAATACATCAGTGGTTCATATAGTGAACTCAGTGTAGAGCTATTCACCCTGAGGTCATCACAGAGGACAAGGGGGCACTCTTTACATCTGGAGGAAAATAAATGTAATCTCCAAATACGGAAAGGTTTCTTCACAGTAAGAGCTGTGAAAATGTGGAATAGACTCCCTCAAGAGTTGGGTCTGGACAGCTCAGTGGATTGCTTTAAAAAAGGCCTGGATTATTTCTTACATACACAGAATATAACTGGATACTAACATTTATAGGTAAAGTTGATCCAGGGAATATCTGATTGCCTCTCGGGGGATAAGGAAGGAATTTTTTTCCCTGCAGGAGAAAATTGGATCATGCTTTGCTGGGTTTTTTTTGCCTTCCTCTGGATCAATTGTGGGTGTAGGATTATAACTTTTTTCTTTTTTTTTTTTTTTTCTATGGTTGAACTGGATGGACTTTTGTCTTTTTTCAGCCAGACTAACTATGTAAGCTAATGTTATATTTTGTGTCCATGCACACTATTTTATGCTAGAAGCATTTTTCAAGCTTCAGCGTTTAAGAGCAAAAAAAAATTTGTAGAGTTTCAGTGAGCGTTTTCCCAGAAAAAAACAAAAACAAAAACGCTTAATTCTCCTAAAATGCTCCTAACAGCTTTTTTTTCAAGCTCCCCCCCATGTACTGTAAAAACTCTAACACTCCTAAAATGCTACTACAAGCCAGCACAAAAATGCTATTATTAGCATTTTCTATCCAGCATTTTTTCCTAGCATTTTTTGAGTTTATAAAAAAAAACACTAGTGTGCAAGGAGCCTTCTAGTCTGTCAGCATTTCTCAACCTCAGACAGCAAAAACTGTGGTGTGCTTTAACATTTAGGGCTTGTTAACATATGCTTTGACATTTCACAGGCGTTGAGGAGGCGTTGTATTGCCTACTCGCCATCTGCTTTAACCCCTTGATCGTCGCACTACTGTGCTGCAAACTGTGTGCATTGCACGTGGTTGCGGAGCACTTGAAGAGCAGTCCTATTCACTTGAATGGGTCGCGCTGGGCAGGCAGTAGGCCCATTTAAGGCGGCAGAGGGTATAATTATTCAGCCTCTGAAGGGCGGGGGCGGGGGGGGGGCGGTACAAAACGCAGCTCATCCAAGGACTTTTATTACCCCTCA